AGGACTTTGCAGCCGACTCCATGACTTTTGTAATCGATGGTTCAAAGCAGAAAAGCACACCAAAGCCCAGATGCTGGACCTGGTTGTTCTGGAGCAGTTTCTGGCTCTTCTGCCCCCAGAGATGGAGAACTCGGTGCGAGAGTGTGGAGCAGAGACCAGCTCCCAGGCAGTGGCCCTGGTGGAAGGCCTTCTCCTGAGCCAGGCAGGGGAGCAGAAGGAGCAGGTGAGAGACCTTCACCTTGGGAGCCCTGAAGGGGTTGAGTGGAATAAAAAATGTGGTTGAATTCCTCACCTACCAGAGTCCCAAAGGTGCTTTTTTCACAGGGCAATTGGACTTCCTTGTTGTTGTTTTTTTGAAGATGTTTCATTTCTCATCCAAGAAGATTCTTCAGCTTTGACGGGATGGTGGGGAATCGAAGGATTTATGCTCCTTGCAGACAGCTGGTTGTTTGCATTCTTTTAGAGCCATTGAGGCCACTTGGAGACTTTCAAGAATCCACTTTGTGTTTTGTGATGTCCACTAATTCTTCTTTTCTCCTGTCTCCTATTTCAAGTCCTTCACAGTGGACATCAGAGATCCTGAAGGAAGCAGGAATCCATCAAATTCTCCTCAGGAGTTGTTTTTGAGGAGCATTTCTCCGGAAGATCCAAGTCTGGACACCTTGGGAGGTAATCAAAGGTCCTGCATTTTTGAGAAAGTCCCAAACTCTCTCCTCTTCTGTAAAATGTCTCTTCCTATGTTATTAATTATGTTTTTTAAAATTCTGTTTTTCCTCAAAGGGAAGACTCCAGTGGAGTTGTCTGCTCTGTATGGTGCAGCTGAAACAGTGGTCGAATCTCCAACTCAAGTAAGAGGAGCAAATTCACTAATAGAATAGAATAAAAGAGTTGGAAGGACCTTGTAGGTCATCTAGTCCAACCCCCCGCCAGAGCAGGAGACCCTTCACCAATTTTGACAGATGGCAGTCCAGTCTCTTCTTGAAAGCCTCCAGTGATGAATCTCCCACATCCTCTGAAGGAAAACTGTTCTTTGGTTGATTGTTCTCACTGTCAGAAAATTTCTCCTTATTTCTAGGTTGAATCTCTCCTTGGTCAGTTTCCATCCGTTATTCCTTCTCTGGCCTTCAGTTGCTTTGGAGAATAGGTTGACCCCCTTCTCTCTGTGACAGCCCCTCAAATATTGGAAGACTGCTGTCATATCACCCCTGGTCCTTCTCTTCACTAGACTAGCCATGCCCAGTTCCTGTAACCGTTCTTCATATGTTTGAGCCTCTAGTCTCCTAATCATCTTTGTTGCTCTTCTCTGCACTTTTTCTAGAGTGTCAGCATCTTTTTTATACTATGGTGATCAAAACTGGATGCAGTATTCTAGGTGTGGTCTTACTAAAGCCTTACTTATTTGATTCAAATTCTCCCTTTCCTTCAGGAAGTCACAATGGTACACAGTGCACCCTCTCCTTCCATTCTCTAGAAAGAGTGCAGAGAAGAGCAACAAAGATGATTAGAGTTTTGGAGGCTATACTGTACAATGGATGGTTGTGGAAACTAAATATGTCTAATCTAGCAAGAAGAGGATTGGGGTGACATGACAGCAGTTTCCCAATACTTGAGGGCAGTCACAGCGAAGAGGGGATCAAGCCATTCTCCAAAGCAACTGAGAGCAGGACAAAAAGTAACAAATGGAAGATTATCAAGGAGGGAAGCAACCTAGAACTAAGAAGGAACCTCCTGACAGTGAGAATAATTAATCAATGGAACACCTTGCCTCCAAAAGCTGTGGATGCTCCATCACTGGAGGTTTTAAAGAAAAAATTAGACAAAAATTTGTCCAGAATGGTATAGGGCCTCCTGCTTGAGCAGAGAGTTGGAATAGAGGACCTCCAAGGTCCATTCCATCTCTGATACTCTATGATTCTATCATTCTTTCTTCTTCTGGCTTGGATATTTTTGTATTCCTGAGCAACATGGTATGGGAAATAGAAGATTCAAGTTGCTCTCAGTCAGCTTAACCCTCCCTGAAATCTATTGTTCCGATACAATGGTTTGTAAATTCCACCTTGAGATTTATATTAAGAAATCTTTTTGTTAAATTCTGTACTAGATACTTTTCCTACTATTAGTTACACACACTCTCGAGTCCTTCAAGAGATAGGAATATCACAAGGGCAGCAAGTGCTAAACTGCACCTATTTGTTTTATAATTCTTTGACTTGGAATTGTGCAAGATTGTTCAAAAATACATAAATACTCAAATAGCGCAATATCATTTTTAAAAAGCCTTCTTCAACCTGTTGAAAGATTAAAAGATAAGGCAGAAGATTAAAATCCAATGAAGGTGGCCAAATAGGAAAATCTCTAAGTAAATGTTGTCATGCATGTAATCAAAGAACTTTTGGCTTACAAAATAATTTCTAATCTTCTGATTTGTGTCTGGATTTGAAGGCCAAATCATGCTGCTTTGTAAAAAATTCCTTCAATACCATGAATTTTTCTCTGCTTTCTCATCCTCAGTTCAGCCAATGACTCAGATAGAGATGGATGGATGGATGGATGGATGGATGGATGGATGGATAGATAGATGATAGATAGATGATAGATAGATAGATAGATAGATAGATAGATAGATAGATAGATAGATAGATAGATAGATAAGAGAAATGATAGATAGATAGATAGATAGATAGATAGATAGATAGAGAGAGAGAGAGAGAGAGAGAGAGAGAGAGAGAGAGAGAGAGAGAGAGAGAGAGATATGGTAGATCCATAAGGAAACTAAGATTACTTTCACTGAATGGCACATCAATCATTGATTAAGCTTGCCTGAACTATTTCTTCACTCAAAGGTTTTTGATCTACTTTTATCACCTAAACCAGATATGTCAAACTCGCAACATCACGTGACGTCGCGCGACGTATAGGAGCTTTTTCGCCATTGCCAGCAATGGGGTGGGCGCGGCTCCGGTATGATGAAACCAGCCCGTGGGCCGGCAGTTTGACACCCCTGACCTAAACCTCAGAATCCTACCAAGCACAGCCATTCAACTTAGTGCATATCTTTGCTTTGGGAATTTGTACGTAATGGGATAGAGCTTATAAATCCTCCTTGACCCTGTTCGGTTCTTTGTTTTACTTGTTCAGGAGGGTCTGGTGTCCTTCGAGGAGGTGGCTGTGTATTTCTCCAAGGAGGAGTGGTCTCAGCTGGATTCTGACCAAAAAGCGCTCCATTGGGAAGTCATGTTGGAAAATTATAGGAATGTGACCTCTCTGGGTAAGCAAGTTTGCTACTCGCCCGTCAGAGAGTTTAGTAATTAAATGCCATCCGCTGTTTCTTATTAAAAGGTCTCCAAAGAGATGTCATCTCTTGGGAAGAAGCAGGAAGAGATCTAGCCCTTGTCTATTCCAAGGAAGTATCTATCTTGTCTCTGTCTGTCTGTCTGTCTGTCTGTCTATCTATCAATGTTAACAGCGATGTTAGTGCCCGTGTGACACTCATGACGACGCAAAGGCCCACATGACGCTTGCGGTTATGTTAGCACTCACATGACGCTCATGGCCACACTAGCACCCACAAAATGCTCATGGTGACACTAGCATGAGTGGGAGGGAGAGTTCGCACACACACGCACTGGCTAGCCAATCATGCGGCCTGCGGCCCACAAGATGGGGACCCCTGGTCAAAGTAATCTTAATAAAGGAGAATATTTGTAGCTCATGGTTGAAATGAGGGATACTTGGTGCTTTCTGAGCTTGGTTGTTTTCTTGCAGACGTTTCAATACCCAAACTGGGTAACATCATCAGTGTCAGTAAATATTGGGAACAAACCCTACTCCTTACTAATACTGATGATGTTATCTAGTTGGAGTAATGAATCGTCTGCAAGAAAACAAGCAAGCTCAGAGAGCAGAACTCCTCAGGTTTTTCATTCTGCAGCATGGAGGACAAGAGAGAATTCAACGTCAGATCTTAGATCAACCTGATTGTAAGGAGCTGCCTCCGCTAAGCCATCCAAGAGAGCAGAACTCTTGAAACAGGCATTGTCTCAAAAGGAATTTTTATTAGGGGCTACTGATAGCAGGGAAAACAAGGTGAGATCTAAGGAAAATCCACGGAAAGCAATATAATAAAAGCATCACTCAATCCTTCTCCCTCCAGAGTCCCAGTGTTCATTTGAATTCCAGTCAATCCACAGGTGGAATAGTATTTTGATAACTGGGTTCTTTGGCACGTTCTTTCAAGTTCTTTCAAGGTCTCTCTCGCTTTCATTTCCTTCTGACTCCAAGCACAACTGTCTCTCAGATAAGGGTGATACATTCCATTCCCTGGGGGGAAGGGAACAATAGCCGGACAGTGCAAAGTATCCCCAAGACATCCCCCCCTCCCAACAGAATGGCAGGCCACAAAGAAAAGTTACAGAGTCAGGAATAGGCATAAGGAAACAATAATATTCTTTGGGGATCTGATACCGATACCAGGCATCGCCCCATGTTTTGAACATACCCTGATAGACACAGGCAGAAGAATCACAACAAGAGCTAAAAGGAAGATGACTTGAGAGGGTGGGGACTTAATTTTGGTTAAAGTTCAAATAAGAGATGCAACAATGATCCTGTTTGCACCTCACTTTATGTCAACTTTTCTTTTCTTTTCTTTTTTTCTGCTCCAAGCAGGTGATGAATGGGAGATGATGGTCCAAGAAATGGCAGCACCATTGCCAAAAGGCAGAATGAAAGACGCAGAGACATTTTTTGGAAAGCAAAGTTCTGAGGAAAAACAATTAAAGGGGGAGCTAGAGAAATGCTCTACTTTACCATATGTAGTTGTCAGTGACTTCTCAGGCAAAGATGATCAGCCAGAAAAAGAGGGTTGCCCACAGCGTGGAAAAATACCCGCAGACGAATCAGGATTATACGACTGTTGCAGAAGCCACATGGTAGAGAAACAAAATGAATGTGGAAAATGTTTCCAAAGGAAGTTCTCGGTTACTTTGCCTCAGAGAATACAAGGAGAGAAACCATATAAATGCTTGGAGTGCGGAAAAAGCTTCAGAGACTCAAGTTATCTTACTTCCCATAAAAGGATTCACACAGGAGAAAAACCGTACGAATGTAAGGAATGTGGAAAGAGCTTCCGTTTTGCACAAAGCCTCACTTCCCATAATAGGATTCACACAGGCGAGAAACCATATGAATGTCCCAAGTGTGGAAAGACCTTCAGTCAAAAATATCAGTATACTGTACATAACCGAAACCACACTGGAGAGAAACCATATAAATGTATGGAATGTGGAAAACACTTCACTAATTCAAGTTCCCTCACTTCCCATAAAAGAATCCACACCGGAGAAAAACCATATAAATGCCTGGAGTGTGGAAAGAGCTTCAGAGCTTCAAGTTCTCTTACTGCTCACAAAATGATCCACACCGGGGAGAAACCCTACAAATGCAAGAACTGTACAAAAAGCTTCAGACAAAAACATCAATATATTGTACATAACAGAATCCACACTGGGGAGAAACCGTATAAATGCTTGGAGTGTGGAAGATGTTTCACTGTGTCAAGTTCCCTCACTTCCCATCAAAGGATCCATACTGGGAAAAATCGTAGATTTCTCTGGTGGATCCACACAGGAGAAAAACCATACGAATGCAAAGAATGCGGAAACAGCTTCCGTTTTCGACGAAACCTCATTTATCACAATAGGATTCACACTGGAGAGAAACCATATAAATGCCCAGAGTGTGGAAAGGGCTTCAGAGCTTCAAGTTCTCTTACTGCTCACAAAATGATCCACACCGGGGAGAAACCCTACAAATGCAAGAACTGTGCAAAAAGCTTCAGACGAAAATATCAATATATTGTACATAACAGAATCCACACTGGGGAGAAACCGTATAAATGCTCGGAGTGTGGAAGATGTTTCACTACGTCACGTTCCCTCACTTACCATAATAGGATTCACACAGGCGAGAAACCATATAAATGCCTGGAGTGTGGAAAGAGCTTCACAGTTTCAAGTTCTCTAACAATTCACAAAATGATCCACACTGGGGAGAAACCCTACAAATGCAAGAACTGTGCAAAAAGCTTCAGACAAAAACATCAATATATTGTACATAACAGAATCCACACTGGAGAGAAACCGTATAAATGTTCAGAGTGTGGAAGACATTTCACTGTGTCAAGTTCCCTCACTTCCCATCAAAGGATCCACACTGGGAAAAATCGTAGATTTGTCTGGTGGAAAGGGGTTTACTCAACATCAGTCCCTTTATGAGCACAGAAAAATTCACTTGTGGGAAATGCATAAAAAGCAGTAAAACCGTATAAACAAATTGTCAGAAATTTGGGACTCTTGAGCTATTTATTACTGTGGAGAAAGTAAATGTTAGAGAATGAAGGGAAGATAAGAAATCACGACGATTCTGAAGAGAGTGGAGAAAAATAACTGCAATTACGTTTTTTTGAGTAATGTCGAACATTTGTCCATACAGAGCCCGAATATAATTTTTCTTGGAAGACCCACTTTGGAACCCCTTTGCTTTTTGCATCTCTCCATTTATTGGCCACTAGAAACACCTAACATAGTTACATAACAATGACTCTAGCCCTTGACTTTGCTCCTTTTGCCGTTTAATTTACATCTCCATCGTTGAACATTAATTACAAGGGCTGTCAACACTTTCAGTTCTGCAATAATGGCGAATATCTGTAGCTTGGGTATAGGACGAGGGTGAAGGTTGGTTCTCTGAGCTTGTGGGTTGGTTTTTGAATATTTCGTTACCAGGCCAGGTAACATTTTCAGTGGAGTTTAGGGGATGTCAGAGTTAAGTGTTTATAACGGCTTCAGGTGTGGGTGTGTCAAGAGAGGGTCAGAGAAAAGCAACTAAGGTGATCAAAGACCTGGAGACTAAAATATATGAAGAACAGGTTCAGGACTTGAGTTTTGGTAGTCTAAAGAAAAGAACTAGGGGTGACATGATAACAGCATTCCAGTATTTGAGAGAATGCCACAAAGAAGAAGGGGTCAAATTATTGTCCAAAGCACCAGAGGGCAGGACAAGAAACAATGGTTGGAAACTGATCAAAGAGAGAAGCAACCTGGAATTAAGGAGAAACTTCCTAAGAGTGAGGACAATTAATCAATGGAACAGCTTGCCTTCAGAAATTGTGGGCACTCCATCACTGGAGGTTTATAAAAAGAGACTGGACAGTCACTTGTTTGAGATGGTATAGGTTCTCCTGCTTGACTAGAAGACCTCCAAGGTCCCCTCCAGATTCTATTCCATTCCGCTCTGCTCTGCTCTACTCTGCTCTACTCTGTTCTGTTCTTGTGATGGGTCTTGTGATGGGTTAGGTGTGAGTCATCAGTGAGAAGCTTGTGATGGGTCTTGTATGGGGAGCAATTCCATCAATGGGCCCATTGACCTAAAACCAGCCTATGAACTCTTCAGAATCCAAATCAACCAAACAGCTAACTAGAGGGAGCACCAACCCTCAACCAACCCATGTAAGCCCTCCAGAAATTCACCTCCCAATGTCCCTGACCTGATGTAACCTCCCCATCTCAAAACCCTCTCTTGACACACCATCTGAAGCCCTTATAAACACTTAACCTGGATCAGATTCCTTAGATTCTATTCTGTTCCGTTCCATTCCATTCTACTCTACTCTAGTCTTGTGATGGGTCTTATGATGGGTCAGGTGTGAGTCATCAGTGAGAGGCTTCTGATGGGTCTTGTGATGGGGAGCAATTCCATCAATAGGCACATTGACCTACAACCAGCCTATGAACTTCTCAGAATCCAAATCAACCACACAGCCAACCGGAGAGAGCACCGACCTTCAACCAACCCATGTAAGCCCCCCAGAAGTTCACCTCCCAATGACCCTGACCTGATGTAACCTCCCCATCTCAAAACCCATCACAAGACCCTCTCTTGACACACCCACACCTGAAGCCCTTATAAACAAGAACACTTTACACTGACATCCTCTAAACTCCGCTGAAGAAGTTACCTAGCCTGGTAACGAAATGTTCGGAAACCAACCCACAAGCTTGGAGAATGACCTTCACCCTCACTTTTAGTTCTTTTTTATTTAGTTTTCTGGCATCCTCAACTTTTTAAGTTTTAAGCCATGAATGGGTTATCTCAGCTTTGCTGTCATCGAGCAATTTCTTGAATAAAGGTCTCTTGGTTTTCGTTTTTTTAAGGACTAGTCTCCAGAATTGTTTTTATATAAAGTTTCAGGCTCGTAGCTTCATTCTTCCTTTTTAAAATGCACTTTTTACCCATGCAGCACAGGACAAGACAATATTTCAGAGTTACCAAGTCCAAGATCAAAGGTTTTCTTCCTTAGACCCCAAGGAATTTTCCCCACCTAATGTCAAAACCATGGTTGAATCGGGGGTTTGGGTTGAAGTCCAGCCCCAGGGGTCTTTAGGAATTCCATCCAAAGCAGAGGGGAGAAAGAAAGGATGGTTTTGTGGAAGGGGTAAATGGGCGTGCATGAACACCTGCAATGTTTGTAGCAATACTCGCGTGAGTGGAGCCGTGAACATTCACGACACTCACATGAGTGGGACCGCAAATGCTTGTGGGTGTGGGGCTGCAAACGCCTGTGATGCTCGTGTGAATGGGGCCACAAATGCCCATAATGTTCACATGAATCCAGCTGCAAATATCCATGACAACACTCACATGAGTGGGGCCGCGAACACCCACGATGCTTTAGGCAAGTCGTGAGGTTCAGGACCCCTACCTAAGGAGAACTAGATCTCATGGTCCCCCAGTTTATAATCTAGCACCCAAACCACTTATGATCATTATTTATTTATTTATTTATAAAATTGATAGGCTGCCCATCTTATCTCAAGGTAACTCTAGGTGGCTTATTATAACATGATTATTATAACAATCTCTTCCACAAGGGCCAATATGAACTAGAAAAAGAAATTAATCACAAAATTTCATCCAGTCAAATCAGCCAGCCAAACATTTGTCATTCCTTCATCCTAAATTTGGGGGGAGGGGGAGGGGGAGGGGGAGGAGGGTGACTTGTCCTTGATACTCTGCTTATCTGCTGAAATTTAAGTCTTGGCAGTCAATCAGAGCAAAAACTAAAAAAAAAAATGGACTGAACTCAAGAAATAAGATCCAGCAGGAAACACCAAATTAATCAGATGACCTGTATTCCCGGCTGAGTTTAGGTTTTCTTTGTTAAATAGGAAAAAAAAATCTTTCTACCAAGAGATTAGTATTTCAATTAGCAATAGCAATAGCATGTAGACTTATATACTGCTTCACAGTGCTTTACAGCCCTCTCTAAGCGATTTACAGACTCAGCCTATTGCCCCCAACAATCTGAGTCCTCATTTTACCAGCCTCAGAAGGATGGAAGGCTGAGACAACCTTAAGCCTGTCAGGATCGAACTGCTGGCAGTGGGCAGAGTTTGCCTGCAAAGCTGCATTCTAACCACTGTGCTATCACTTGGGAAAGAACCTATATTTTCCAAGTAGCTGGGGAAAAACTTCCACCCCTGACAAATACATATTCTTCCTTCCCAAAAAGAGAAATAGACCAGGGAGAAGCAGGAAAAGATTAATCAGCCGTTGAGAATTGAACTGCTGAACTGCTGGCAGCTGGCAGTCGGCAGAAGTTGCCTGCAGTACTGCATTCTAACCACTGCGCCCCCTAAACAAGCAGAAACTGCAACTCAGCCGTGTGCCTGACTGCAAAACACTCCATCTCCAAATGCCAGCTAAAAGTAATGTAAAGATCCAGTTGAGAGAGAGAGAGAGAGAGTTGTTCAAACAGAGGGGAAGGGATACGACATCATCTATCTCCAGTCTACAACACAGCCCATTCAACAGTTCCAAGAAGACTCCACATCCATTTGCATGGCTCAAGTGACCCTGATGACACAGATAATCCTCCAGATGAACCCATGATCCTCTAAAACAGGCATGTCAAACTCACGACATCACAGGACTTTTCCCCCATTGCCAGCAATGGGGTGGGTGTGGTTTCGGTGTGATGCATCCAGCCTGTGGGCCGGCAGTTTGACATGCCAGCTCTAAAAGAATGTAAACAACCAGTTGTCTGCAAGAAATATAAATCCTTCCATTCCCCACCATCTAGTCAGAGCTGAAGAAGCTTCTTGGATGAGAAGCGAAATGTCTTCAAAGACAAACTAGAAAGTCCTGAAAAAGCACCTTTGGGATTTCTGACAGAACAATTAATCAGTGGAACAGCTTGCCTCACATAGTTGTGTGTCAACGCTGCTAATATTGAATATTCTTGCTTTGACAATATATGCAGAACTGTCTGGTATTTTTAGAGTTAAATCAGGTGACAGGGAAAGGGGAGGGGAAAATAAGGAAAGCCCGGGAAAAAGAAACGGAAGTGAATCTTTGCCCTCCAAGTTAATTGGAAGATGTGAATCATGACCCCAAAATAGGGGAGGGGAAATGCCTGGAATGTTATGTGCAAAGGAAGGGAAATTCAGATCTTAGCATCCACCATGCTGTGCTGACACTCTGTAATACTATTAAAGGCTTTTTAGGTTAAAAAAAATGCCTGAAAGTTCTTTGAATTGTTTCGTCAATCAGACACATGACACGTGTGTGCTCCATCACAGGAGGTTTTAAAAAATAAACTGGACAACCATTTGACTGGCAAGGTATGAGGCTCCTGCCACGAGCAGGGGGTTGGACTGCAAGACCTCCAACATCTTTCCAGCTTGAAATACTGCATTCTAACCATTGTGCCACTATGGCTCTAAATAATAAATAAATTAAACAAACAAACAAACAAGCAAACAAACAAATGCTAAAGAAAGCTTAAATACTGGGATATTTGGCTACCATAGTTGTTATTTACTTACAGAGAAGTACCCCAGCATATAGAGCAGTATTCTTCATAACTGTAAGATAAAGTTCCCAGAATTCCTCATGGTGGCTGAGGAATTTGGGGAGTTGAAATCCACAAAATCTAGGGTTGCCATGACTGAAAAACATTCCTCTAGAGCAGGGATAGGCAACCTTGGCTCTTTTACGACTTGTGGACTTCAATACAAAGAATTCCGGAACAAGCCATGCTGACTCAGGAATTCTGGGTGTTGCCTACCCCTGCTCTAGAGGATTTGGATGCTTGTCAACTGGTTCATATTTATGATGGTTGCAGTGTTCCAGGTCCCCTTTTGCAACCTTCGGACAAACAATGG